CTCATTTTCCCGCGTTATGATATGCACGTATACTTTGCATGTATAAGACATCGAATCTCCATTCATTCATTCATTCATTCATTCGTTCTTCTTCCTTTCGGGTTATGCGTTTTTGTTATTGCTATGGTTTAATTACCCAAGTTTGAGTGGGTTCTACTAGCAATAAAGTACAATTTAACACGTGTCTTCACATCGTTCTTCTGCTACAACCAACCATATTGGAATAGGACTCAACTCTTATTCCATAATCAAAGGACCAACNTTTCAAAACAGAGTTGCAATCCCTCTACTGAATACCTCCTAAGGATCTATTAGAATAAAGCTAACAAAAAAAGAAACTTTCACGACAATGACAGCTTGAATTATTGATTAATGGAAATATCAGAGTAGAGCCAGGTGTGATGATGATAAAAGTCACTATGGTATGTGGAAGCATAAAAGATAGCAATAAGAATAAAGAAATAGGGACAGGGGAGGGAGGAGAAGAATCGTTTCCTATTTTATTTATACAGGTGTGCAAGAGTAAGCAAATTTTTAAATTATCATTAATGATTTATAAATTTAAAATGAAAGCCTAATGAGTTGAAAAGAGTAATTTATTTTATTGATCCTTCTTTCTTGCACCACTTTATCATTGTTGTCATTAATAACCATCATTTTTTCTGAATAAAATGCAAAGAAGATATATTGAGAATTGCGTGTTATTCATATGGGAAAATGGCGGAGTGTTTATTATTGACAGATGGAAAATAAATAAAGTGAAATAAAATGAAAGCTATATAAGCAAAAATAAAAACCTGCTCGCCTGACCTATTTTTGTTGTTGCTGTTGTTGTTATTGTTGCAAGAGTGCAAATTAAGTGAGAGAAATAAATGAGCGTAAATTTTCTCATTAAGGCATTTTCTCTCAGGTAAAACATTTCAAATAATTTTAATCTGATCAAATTAAGTTTTTAAATTTGACTTACTTTTATTACTTTGAAGATAAGTTTGTTACCATTTCGCAACTTCACTTATCTTTCAGACAGTATTTTAATTTTTGTTCAATAGTTTCACTTTTTTTCTCCGTTCGCTATGCAATTACATATTTTTATTATTTTGAATGGGATTTATTTAAAATATAAATTGTATTATATATTCCGTTTCACAAACAGTTAAAATGGAAGATGGAAAACAATCATATCATGATGATATTATTGTTCCCGTCGTAATATTATTGCTCTCAGTTTTGCATTTTAATATGTGGCAATCGTTGCTTTGAATTTTATTAGCATTTTCTTCCTGCTCAACTTCTATCTGATCTTTATGGAATAGAAGAAATGTAAAAAATATTTGTGATTAATAGAAATTATAATTGATATATTTATTTGCATGTATGAGATGAAAGTTATTCAATTATAAACTGGACTTTTAAATTTGTCTGAGATTTTCTCTTAAAATTTTTTTTCCTTTAGTAGACAAGAGAAAAACAATAACGGTTAGAAGGGAGGTTGAAAACTGAATCGTTAAATTTATCTGAAACATATAGTTGACTTTCTTTTTTGACTATTCCAAATTTTCAATTTAGTTTTGACAGTTCATAAAAGTATTTATTTGCATATTCTATATCTTCACATATCATTTTATTTAATTATTTACGTGAATTTTTATTTCGTTTTTCCACTTTAAGTACATTTCAGTTGGATTCGCCTTGAATAGACGGACAAAGAAGCAATGAATTCATATGAAACGACTGTTGCAGTGCTGCCAGATAACTAAACTAAATATTGATGTAGAAGATAGTTGAAAGGTGCAAATACACCTGTACGAAATGGAGAGAAGGCATAACACATCATACAAAGGTTTATTTGTCAGCATAGCATGGCGCGGACCGTTTCTTTGAGATTTAAATTTTGCTTTTGAAATAGAGGCTATTTCGAGAAAAAAAATCAATAACAGTTTGATGTGTCTCTTTTTTGTGCATTAAAATAAAAATTTTAATTCTAACTCAAAATTTTAAATTAGTGGGACGCCTAATTTCTAAAAAAAAAAACTAATCTTTTTGAAACAAATAAATACGTGCTTAGATAAATTGATGATGCAATCTGGCTAACAATAAATAGATGATAAATTAAGCACTTTAAAAGAAACATAATTAACAATCTCAAAATCAACTTCAAGAACTGCATCCAGATCGTTGAAATTAATTTCTAGTTTTACAGTTTCAGAATTCAGCCATTATGATTGCAAAAGCTGATCTTCGTACTGTTTCATGAAACATTCACCAACAGGAAAGAATTCCCAATCTCGATTATCATACTTCTCCCGCACATATGTCTCTTGTCCGGTATATTCCGTTTCATCTTTGTTCACCAAATGTTGAAGGAAAAAGCTGAAAATTTAATTAGTAGCCGATAAAATTTGTCAACTCAATATTATTTCAATATATGAATGAATTCATTTAAATATTTGGCATTTATACATTTTCAGAAAAATCATTACGATTCTTTTCTTTAATTATATTAGCTAATTTTGAGAGACAGAGAGAGAATAAAAAAACTTACAGATAGTTAGCAAAATTATGTTCCTTAGATATATGTATCTCGAAACCACGTGGCATACGATCAAACGTTTCCTTACCAATATCACAAATAAAACAGGATGATTCCAATTTCTCAGTTGCCGATTCCTGTTGATCACGTAATTCACCAAATGCATCAATAATTAAACCTGAAATTGAATGAAAATTTCGATCAATTCCAAATATTTATTAATTTGAAATAGTCAACTTTTCATAGGACCTTCCTTTCTAGATGAAAAAAAAAATATTAACCTTGCATGATAGCAAGTAAAATAATGATAACGAAGAAGAAGAAGGAAATATCATAAAGCATTCGCCAATATTCCAAATCATCACCGTACGGAGATTCCAACTCATCACCGATACCGCCACCTGCGCGTACTCCCGCATAGAAATGATAAATGAAACACTGAAATAATCAATTTTACTGCTTTTTGGAAATAAGATCGAGTCATTCCTAAATTCATTTTAAGCTATCTTTATTATGATGTTTATCATCATTCTTTCAGTATTTGTTTTTAAAATTTACGATTTTTTTCGGCTTATATAAAATATTTATAGGCGAATTGGTGCCTTTTAATAAAATAATTGTTCCTTTTAAAATTCCAGACAAATAGTAGCTTCAAAATGATGATATTAATGAGAATAAAATAAAATAATTAATTAACCGTTAACATATTGTGACATTTTCGATCCGGTGGGTCCTCACCTTCACTCTGTTGCACATAAAACTTGCGGAAGAAATTAAATGCTAGGACAGTATATAAATAGACAACCACCAGTGTCATCATAATTGTCAAAATTAGCTGAAATAAATTTACAGTTAACTTGTCTAATCCTCCCAGTCCCAATCTTACCTGTACATCCAGAAAATTGAATTTATTTTTTAACTGAAAGAATTTTTGTTAACGAAATTCATCTGTAGCAATTTAAAGAGATACGATAATAGATAACTGTCCTTATTCTGTGCTTTTATGACTAAAGAATTTTTATTTTCAAATTAGGTCAGAAAATTTTAAACTTGACAATTTTATATTTATACATTTGACATCCTATTTGTTATATTTCAATTTTCCTCTATTTATCATCAATAAATTTCAATTTTGAGAATTTCCAAGAAATAATATTACTAATTAAAAACTAATTACTAATTACCTGTTGTAAATTATGAGTAACAGATTGCAAAATAGCTTTCAACATGGGGAAGGAGAGTACCACATCGATTAGATGAAAGGCATAAAAGAAAGGAGAAACGAAGACACCGAGAGCTGAGCAAAGTAAATAATGAACACGATACAAGAACTGTCCATTGGTCAAAATCACTCCAAGCCATAGCCAACATGCATATCTAAGAAGGAAAGTTTACGACGTTTTTGATTCTTCCTCTCTTACAATTATTGTTATTTCAATGACTGAAACTTTTGTTGTGGAAAAAAAAATGTGCTTTTAATTCCAAATTGAAATAGTTTTTCGTGAAATAGAAAAAAGAACTGAAAGACATATACTTCTTTTATAAATCTTTCATAAGTTATGCAATTTTTGGCATAATTTACAGTCAACTCATGTTTACAATTTGAATTGCATTTAAAAAGATCAAAATCAAAGTTATGTAATTAAGTAAAATAAAAAAAAAAGAACTATGATTTCCTTTTGATGCTTACCTGTAATCAAAAGAAGCATCGGTTGTCGATTTATCTTCACCTAACACTGCAGTCAATGTTTCTTCATCAATCTGATCACGGAATTTATGTCTTGTCTTTCGGCGAACAAATTTATCCCAATATTTCATGGGAAATGATTTTGAACTGATAACTATACGATCGATATACCTGTGATTATAACAATGCATAGATGTAAAAGATAAAGGTCTTTCAAACTTAGGATTATAGAGTACTTAAACTTAGGACTCTTGACTAACGTAAATTTACGCAAAACTTCGCGCATATGGTGTAGGAGAAGAGTGGTAAATTATCTTACCAAAAGACAGTACTCGTCAAACTTCTTTCTTCATCATCATCTTCAGTAAGCCAACAGCCGTCAAACATTAAACGACGTGCGACTTCCTTCTCACGCTTGAAAGTTATGAGCGGAATCTGAAAATTTAAATTCGATTATTGCAGAAAAGTTAGAGTTTGTGCAAACAGTTATGCAAAAAATTATGCTTTATAATTTTTTTTTTTAATAACTGATACAGTACTTATAGACATTCAAGAAGTAAAATATTGGAAACAGCAATTGATTGCTGAAAAAATAATTATAATCAATTCAAGTTAATGAACGACCAACCAAGAAAAATTGATAGTTAATCGAGTTAAAAATAAAATGAACGCTGGAAATTAGCAGAATTGAATGATAACCTTTAATTGATAAAATGACACCAATAAAGCAAATGATGCGACGGCATGTAAAACGCTAATCCAGTAAAGTAGCTAAAGAAAAAATTTTAATTTTTTCATAACGGTTTTAAAAATTGAACAACATTTTAAAGTTGACATCATCTATCTAAATGAATGCCATGAAATTTCATACAGAAAATTTTAAAACAAAATATTTCACTCACTCCTTTCCTTTTATTAGTTTCAAGAATTTTAATTTTAACGATAACTACTAAATCATTAGTAATGCTATATTCATACAATCTCATTATTTTGTAATTTCTCAACAATATAATTAATTTCAATGAAAATAAAAATCTAACATTCCATATATATTAGCTAAATTTTAGCCATCATGCTGATTACTTAGCTCCATATTTCAGATAAAACTTTCAGCTAAAACAAAAATGAAAATACCTGTGCTAACATCCATCCGGTCACCTCATATGACGTATATGGCAATATCACACCGCTAATGTAAACCGATTCCATACCTTCATCTTCAAAACAAAAACAATATCTTTATTGGATTCATTATATTTACAGACATTCATTTCTATGTGTAGACATAAACAGATCATATTTACAATTGCTTACCATTTTCAGCTTCCGATATTACGTTATCCGGAATTCGTATTCGATGAAAGAGTAAAATAACGTTGATGAAGAAAGCTAAATACAGTGTAGCTTTTTCGATTGTCTTGAAATTACGAGCCAACATATTCTAAAAAATTAGAATGAAAAAAAAGAAATGAATGATCAGAAGATATTAAAAATTAGAACAAAAATATATATGCGAAATTATTTTAGAATTTCCAATCTATTTTATAACAATTTCATGAAATCAAGAATAATTTGTTTAATTCATTTGTTTAATAAACCATTATCGAGTAAGCATATTTTGAAATTAAAAAAAAAAAAGAACAACTAAAATAAACTTACAAGCAATGATCCTCGACTACGTGGCGGAATTTGTTCAGCAATTTTTGGTTCATAGTAATCGGTAATGCCATATTCTGATACTGTTGGTGAAGCTACTTGCTTGTAATGAGCAGTAATATCGTTAATGCTTTGAGTTTCATATAAACTAAAATGAATTAAAATAAAATTTTTGAATATAAACCGACAATTATAGCTACTATAAGCTATAAACATCGTTTTGATAAATGATAAATGAAGAAATTCCACAACAAAATGAAATGACTCACTCACCTTGAATCCTGTTGTACAATTCCAGATGGTTTCAAAACGGTTTCTGATTGCTGTGCTGATGCCGATGCATTTATAACTAAATTTTTTTTTTTATAAAATAATGTAATCATCAGAAAAAAAAGTATCATCCTTTGTTAAACCAAATAGTTGCACATTTGTCTTTTAAAATAAATTCCTAATAACAATCATCAAAGTATTTATTTAATTAAATTTCTTTAATTGCCTATCAATCAAGTCATTATGCTTTTTTGATTTGCATATTTCTATTTATCTGCTTTTCAATTTCATAAAAATTAAAGATACCATAAATTTATATAGATCGATTATAAAGAATGTAAATGATATATTTATAGATATGTATATCAATGATTAATTATTCAATAATAATTAATTAGTGACAAACAATGAGTACTTAAAAATAAGCAAACCTTCAGTTTTTGATTGTCCCTGAGATGTTGCTGATACTTGAGGATGAGTGGATGGTAAACGTACACCGAATATATCGTAATTACAGGAATGCTGATACTGTTGAAGAGGTGGCCAAACTGGAGAGGCATATTGCATACCGGTGCTGCAAATGCATCTGTTAGTTATAACACAGAGATTTATCAAATTTATTTTTAGATCTAAAAATCTCAAATGATCTGAAAAATGATGACCTCATCACAAATAATAATAGCAATAATACCTTTCAGGCATTGGCAATGCAGCTTGTTCCATTTCTAATTCATCACGATCCGATATCATCAAATAATAACCAAATCGGAAGAATGTACAGATAATCAGATATATGAACATTGCTACTTTCATCGAAACTTTTGCTAGTAGAATAATAATGGCAAAAATTAGCTGTGCCCATGTCATTGATCTAAAATTTCCATATGAAAATTCGGATTACTGATAAGGCAAATATAATTTTATGGCATTTTAAATCATAATAATTGGTTGATTACAATACCTTTGCATTGGAAGGTATGAAATGTTATTTGAAGTTTTGCTAAACTTCTCCATTTATTATTTCTTTTGAAGAAAATCAATTTTTTCAAAATATTAATTTATGAAAATTTAACCTAAGAGAAGCATTAGCTGTGTTGAATATTCTCTTTACATTTGCTGGCTTTAAAGCATTTGCTGCGTTAATACCATAGCTAAATCCAGTTTTGAAAGTTGCCGAAATTTGTCTAAAAGTGAAAAATTGTTTTTTAACTTTAATTTTACATTAAATTTCATTTATTGTGTAATGAACGAGAGCTAAAAAAAACATAAAGTACGAAATATTCCAATTTTAGTTCACAAGAAGTTCATAAGTCTTAGTTCACAGTTCTCTTTTCATCTCAAATATATCGGAAAGAATCAATTAAAATGAGAGAGGAATGAGATAAATAAATTGGACATTAGTTGTAATTTAATAAAAATTACAAATTCGTTCACAACAGATTAAATTACATACGCGCCAGCTGAAGTTTGTTGCAAGAAATAATCACGTTGTTTCTTGGCTCGTTCAATTTTTGAATCTGCCAAATCACCAGCACTAATTTCCGCTGCATGTTGCATCTAAACTTCATTCTTCAATCATTAAATTATCATACAAAAAATTTTTATAATATTGAACTGTAAGAATTAATTTGAAAAGTGTTTGAAAATCAGGTTGAGGATCAAGAAAACTCATGGAAATCAAGTTGAAAAGGTTTTGTAAGAAAGAAGAACAGAGTTTGAGAGCTGCATAAAAGAAACCTCAAAAATAGTATCTTCACAAAAATTAATAAATGCTTCCAACTTTCCCTGATCTCCACCATCATCTTGAAGTACATTAAAGAGGAAAGAATTCTTGGAATCTCTGTAAAACAATCATTAGTTTTCATTTACTCATAAATGTGAAATATCATAGTTGGAAAAACAAAAATTTATAGAAATAAATTTTTTTTTGAATTGTTGACATTTTAAAAGCTTTTATTCCATTTTTGCTAGCAATAGGGCAAAAAATATTATAAATAATGTTGCATTTAATTCCTCCTCATAAAAATAATGATTTTTTAATGAAATAATTAAAATTCTTCAACAATTCTATTATTTAATTCAAAAGCTAGCCTGATTTGTTGTTTACTCCATTGTTCCAACCATGATTCTTGAATTTCAAAATAGATCTTCTCAACTTTCTTACTGGAACCCATTATCTCAATCCGACCCAAATAAGGATCGAAATATTCTAACAAACTGCTAGCTTGCTTGATTATTTTCTCCAATCGTGGATCACTTGTAATGTGCTCTTTGAGATTTGTAAGCAATACAGCTATGTTGAAACCTAATTGTTTTATTAAATTTATATAAGTTTTACTTGAAAAAATTTCCAAATTTAGAGTAATTTTTGCAATAATTTCCAAATTCTCGAAATTTAAAAGCACCTGATCTGTTCAGATATTTCAACTATATTCAGTACTGTCAAATTTGTAAAAACATTCGAAAAATCAGATACGACTGAATATGTAAAAGTTAATCCATTTTTAAATAGCTACAGAAATTTCAATCGGTAAGATTTAGCTAAGTTATAATCCTCACAAAATGAACATTTCAAATATCACAAACCGATATCTCGAGCCGGATTGTGGAAACGTTCTGTAAATTCCATATAATCCACTTTACCATCATTATTCACATCCGTGCACATCATCAAATATGTTATTTCTTCACTGAAAAAAAAAATATTTCGAGAATTTTTCTGATGAATTGAAATTAGCTAATTAGTTAAAACAATGGTGTTAGGCAAAATCAAAAATTTTGATTCTGAGATTTTTTGACAATAAACAATTATTTTTAGCATAAAAATCCCAAAATATTCATTCAGTTGGTTACTGAATTTAATTTTTATCCAAAAGCTTCTTATATTATATTCATTTTAAATATTAAAAGATATTTTAAACCATTTCAAAAGAAGAAACTTTAATAACTTTAATGCAAAGGATGCATTTTTAACTTTAGGCAACTAAATTTTCATCAATACTTTGCAAACTTACACAGAATACATTTTTTGACTTTCCATAGCACGTTGAAATTCTTTAGGTGAAATCCAACCGTCACGATTGGTATCGAAGTCTTGGAACGCTTGTGAAGTTGTCAAATCTTTTAATTTCAAGAACATATCCGAAAATTTCAATATCATTTCTACATTTTGCTCACTTTCAACTAATGCATCAACCATCTGTTTACCAATTGATCCATTAAGCACATTTCCTAAAAATTTTATAATTAATGTTAATGATTGAGAAAAAAAATTTCTTTGAAACTCGAATATCATATTAACATGTTTTTGTTATTGTTTCTACCAATTTTCTAGAAAAATTTCGGAATAGCTTTACATTTTTAATCTTTGACTGAAAGTAATAAAGAAAATTCTAACAGCTACTATTTTTGTTATATCACATCAATACTTTATCATCACTTTTTTTAAAAATTCGAAAAAAAAACGCACCCTCAAGCATTGATAACATCAGTACAATCATATCCTTTTGTAAATTTAAGAATTCTCTTAATAGTTCCAATTGTGTGCTATTTTTATACAATTTCTCCATCATATGTGCGAAAAGAAAGAAAAATCCATTGATGGCATCCCATAAACGTGAATTCGCAAGTGTCATCTGATTCCCGGTGCATGGACCCTTAACATTCATTCATTAACTTCTTTACTTTTTAAATTTTATAATTCATATTATTTTGTTACTCTCTAAACACATTCATACATTTTTCTTCTTTGTAATTTTATAAAATCTATCCAATTAATATGATGAATTTCTCTCAATTTATTTCTATTTTATAAAAGCAAAAGGTAGCAAATACTTACCTGTATACTTTCAGTAAGTGTATTAAATACTTGACTGCATATACGAATAGCTCGTAGGAAATAATCTTTACCACCCTCATCAATTACATCTTTACTTGAATAATGCCAATAGAAGTCCATTACTGATTCTTGCAATCTTAGCAAATAATCGACAGTGCAATTGATCAAATTTACACTTGTCGTATGACCAGGTTGAGCTCGAAGATAATTTTGAAATTCTAAACGAATTATTTTTTAAAATAATAGTTGGATTGTTTTTTAAATGTAAAATGTTTTGTAGCTCAAGAATACATTACCGATCCATGGATAATAATTTGTGAATATATGGGAATCGATTCAATTATTCTTGAGAATTATACTCTTAAAAATTATTTAGTTCAAATTAATGATTATTACATTGCGAATGAAATGACACTTTTTAAGTATTACCTAAGTTATGTCCTTCGCAAGTTAACTGTAAGAATCGAAAAAGGCTACATGTAAATTCAGAATCATTTAAATTCTGATCAGCAGCAGCGCCCAATTCAGCACCCATACCAAGACCCTCAGCCTGCAATTTAATTTAATTTTTTTCAAAAAAATAGAGTTGAAAATTTAAAGAATTGAGGAATAATTTGTCGATTTGAGAAGAGTAAACCTTAATTTGTCGTTCGAACATTTCAAGATTCAGCACACTGCATTTATTCATCAAACCAGCTAATGAGGTAAAGAAGCGAACATCCTTTTTTAATTGCAAATAATCGATCAGCATCTGCAATGACCGTACAAAAATCTAACATTGAACGATGAACGTAGCATTAAACTTATATTTTATAGTTTTTTTCTTATTGTTATTTGTTTGTTTAATTGATACTTTAAGTAATAATTATTTACTTTTGAATACATATATTTACTTGTAATTTTAGATGTAGACTGCTAATCGGACTAAATTCTGGTATTTTAATTGAAATTGAACACTTAGTAATGAGCATTAACTTAATTACTTAATTACTTAATTCACTTAATTTGTTTACAATACTCCTAAATTAACAAGCCTTGATTCAATGCTTCAAAATAGCTATCCATTAATTTCACACATAAGTCGATAAAATTTTCATCTAATAATTTCTCGAAATAATCAGGTAATTAAAACCTGTTGGATTCTGCTATTTCCGCCATTGAGAAGATGAATGCCAAGTTGTAAAGCTTCCGCTACCATATCGCTCGGTTCGCCATTACTAGCAGATAAGTACATCAGACACATTATTGCTGCCCCGCGATTTGCCAGAACTGCCTGCTCTGCGCGAAGTGCTTGCGATATTTCTTCTTTTTGCTAAAACATAGAAATAAATTTATGATCACAAATGCATATCCAAATTTTTCATGCAAATTTTTAATCTTCTTAGATTTTGATAATCTTATCTGAAATATCGATCAACTACGTTAAACGGATTATGAAAGATCAACAAACCGCTTGGTCGAGCTCTCCCTCATCGTCACCTTCATCTTCGTCTTCGATATGTACCGATTTTGACATCACTTGAGCAAAATTCACAAACAACGAATCATTGGAAATTGAAACCGTTTGACTTTGCTCACTTGTTGCCGCACGTTGAAAGCACTGAATTAGCTGTCGCAATGGATCGGGCGAAGATTGAGACCTAAAATTGAGTTTAATTTAAAAATTAAAATATTTGATGCAATGATTATAATCTATCCAAATTCAAAGTAGTTTCTTTGGTTAGAATTTCATAATTTCAAGTAAATTAAATAACGAAATGCTCAGAATTACTTCTGAAATTCACTCATTATTATTGGAAGTGTTGCATATCTGCAAAAGTAATGAAAAGGAAAAAGAAATAAATTAATTTATCATATTTCAACAAACAACAAACTTTTCATCTTTCTCATCACTTAACACTTCTTCATCGCCAGCTTTACCGTGTGTTTGTTCATCTCTTACATCTTCCAACTGCAATCAATTTACAACAAAGACATCTTATTGAATTCAAATTTCATTCCTTACATTTCCCTCTTTGCTCTCATAAAACAACAAACTTGTATAGGAATAAAATGACCAGTAAGTGACCAGCACTACACCTCAATACCACCTTCACAAGTCCCAAAAAAAAGGCAAATTTGCGAAGATATCTAAAAATAGTAAAATAACCTAATGCAAAATACGAGCTAGCATTTGAAATTTTGCAAAATATACGATTCGGTATCTGATAATACTAAAAGTTGAACGATACTCTTAACAGTTAATCATATCAGCTTACCCGAATCAAACGATACAATTTTAGATACAATAAAAAAACACAATAACACAGATTACTAACTGTAAGCTCTTTAATTAGCGCATCTTGCCCAACATCTTCATCTTCCAGCCAAAGTTTGTTAAATGCTGGCAAGAAGAAATTGATTGCACGATGTCTGAAAGGCTTTTCACACAAGCATAAATTTCAAACAATACGACTCTTTTGGAAATTTTGAAATGTTTCAAAGTAAAATAAAAGGCTGTTCACCACAAGTTTTTAAATTGTCATATTTTCTTCCAAAATTGATAGTTCGATTGTAGCAGAGAGTATTTAATGCGCAATTAATTTCTTCATCAAACAACTTTTGATGAAAAATTTGAATCGTTCTTGCAAATATAAATAAAAAGTAAAGTTTTCAAAAACAGAAAATCAATGAAAAAAATAGCAAAAATGTTAGAAATTCTCATATAACCAAATACTGCAAGACTGACTTTTAAGAATTAAATTTAATAATGAAAATAAATATACGAACAAATGTGGCGATATGATGACTTATTCAGACCTAAAAGGTCATAAGGTTATCGTAGGAAATAGTTGTTATTGGTTTTTATCGAATTTTCAACTTTTTCAAAATATTTTGGATGACACTTAAGGTTAGACTTTCAACTGAGGCAAACAAAAATGTGATTGAGAAAATAAGTACAGGTGAGAAGCATACAAGAATAAACGAAAATGAAAAGCAAAACTGATTAATGACATGAACAAACTGAAAAATTAATAATTTTTTTGAGACACTATAATTTTACTGCCAATTAGCTATACACTTAGCAAAAAAAAGAAAAAAAGAAATACGAGCAAGGATAATAGTGTTAAAGCAATTTTGAAACAACACTTCATGACAACAAAGTCAACTCACTTCGAAATTTTTAATTATACTAATTACTGCAAATTGTTCGCTTGAAAGAGCTAATAATTATCACCTCGGATTTTTTCTTAAAACTTATATATTATAGCATATATTTACTTACAGTTAAAGCAACTTTAGAGTAAAAACACATTTATTGAATGTTAACAGAACAACTCAGTAATTTGAATATTTTGTTAATTCACATATATGTTCGAAGAATTCAAGAATAAAATTTTCATTTAAAAAATTTTTTATGTAAAAAAGAAATGATCATTTTCTTTGGTAAATTGAAATTTACAAGAAGTAATTTTTGGAAATATAAATGATAAACAGTGAGAAAGTAACAATTCCTTCTTTCTCTATTTATTTTTTGTTATTGAAGCATTTCTATTTTGATTATTTTAACATATCATTTTTTGAAAAAGCATCGCTTACGTTTCCACTCGATAAAGATGGCTTGAAGTTATTAAACTGATTGCCAGACGTTTTCGTTGCAATGTTAGAACATGTTTCCATCGACTTTCTTTTTTAATTTTACTGGTTACCTGTGGTAAAAAAACAACGACATATTCAGCACACAGTAAAAAAGTTGCATTTCAACGAATTAATTAATTTACAAATAAATTTGCCGCATCATTACAGATAAAGGTAAATTAAAAAAAAGGAAAGACAAATTTAGCATATTTTTCATAACAAATATCAATTTAATTGACAAGGAAAAACAAGTATTGTTATTATTGACTTCATTTGAAAGTCTAAACTGTTTGTTTTAGTAATATCAAAATACTGCTGATGCGACAGCTACTGAGGGAATGAAAAAGGAAAAACAATTTTTTTCTTTGATCAAGATGTTATAATTCAAATTATTTTTAACAAATGTATAATGAACCACAAATGGGGACAAAAAATATTCATGCATTTGAAAATTAATTTTGCAATAATTCTAAGGCATCCATTTGTCAACCATTTAACGGTCAAATGGTTAGTCGATAAAAAGAGTCTTTCGGGTCACTTCTTTCCTCAGTTATAATTCGAATTATAACATTATTCGATAAAAGTAGTATGCAAAAAATGTTTTTTTTGTTATTGCAAATTGTATTTCATGCAATCATGCAACAAAGGTTGATCGATAGTTCTTAAAATCAAACCTTTGAAATTTAAATTAATAAGAGCAACACAGTGAAAGGGCTAAAAATAAAATTCAAGTTTATATAGTCAAAAAAAAAGAAAGAAAGAAAGAAAAGAATACGAATTTCAATTATTTCTATTTAACAAAGATTTTTTCAATTATTCCTATTTAATAAAGATTTTCAACCTTTTTTTATATGTTCTTTAATATTAAATATAACATGATGAGATGTACTGATCTGCTTTCATTAATTAATTAATTAATTGGATTGATATGAAAAAAAAAGAAGAAAAATTATGGAATGAGAATTTTTTCCAATGGAATAAATATATTTGACTAAGACTAAAAGCAATATAAAATATTGAATTTGATAATGGAAATGAAGAAATGATCGAATGAATAATTGTTATATTAGTGGACATACAATACCTCGGTATTCCATAGAGTGGAATCATTCGGAAACAAGCAACGACAGCTCGCTTTCGTTGGCTTGATATCATCGTCTTCCAAGCATTAACCATTGAGCTTTGTGGATGTTCCGTCTAAAATATCAATACATCCTATCTGCCACTAATTTAAAAAAAGGGAAGCAGAAGTCGAAAATTTCAAAATGAAGAAAGAACAAAAAAGGAAAGGAAAAAAGGAATAAGTAAAAGCATGTTTGGTTTTTTTGCTGAAAAATTTAAGAAGCGAACAATAATTATTCAAGATTTCAGGCAACCCTTTGTATTCATAATTTGTATTCATTTTCAAAATGTAATTAATCCATTTAAAAAAAAAATTGTAAAATATTTGATTTATAGCTTAAACATTTGTAACCATATATTTTACATTTGAAAACTACATATTTTATATTTGAAAATGGGAGATTTAAAATTTCAACTGTATGTTAATTTATAAGTAATGAAAGAATATAAGTCAACAAGATAATAAATTAATTGATAATTCATTTTTTCCTTTCTTTAATACTATTGGAGTTTTTACGAAACTTTTTAGTATGACGAACTGATAGAGAGATTTTGATGGTTGGGGAGAAAGACGTAAAAAAGGAGAATATTCGATTTCATTTCTGAAGGCATCAAAAGGAGACCGACTAATAATCAAAAAAATTTAACTTTCAAAACATTTATGCAACTATTAACAAAAAAAGGCTGTGACAAGAAAGAAACAGAAAAAGTAAACTAATTAATGTGAAAGATTTTACTAAAAGGTAGGCCAGCGAAATAAATTCATTTAATTGAAGTGCTTGGAGAAAAAAAAGCATTTATATCATAATTTTTTTGATTCCACAAATACATATACGTGTTAAAAGAAATACGTGGAAATGTTCAGTATTCATCGAATACCTCACATATTCCATAAACGTGAGATATTTAATTCAAACTGAGCTTCTAATATCAACTTTTGCAATAAACTGTTTTAAAAACAGTGTAAAAATTCGATTGCTGATTGGAATATTTTCATTCATGTGCAAACATATTTAACCTATGGATAATTTCATTGATTTTTTGTTTTGCTTACGAAATAAGAAGATTAAAAAATAGAGAAGAGTGTAAAAAATGTTTGAATTTTTGACAGATTGGCAATAATTATAGCTAATACAGTACGCATAAAAGGTTAATTAGAGTAGTGATTATGTCATTTGATTATGTCAATAATTTTGTTTGGCTTATCAAAAAGTTAAAACCCAATTAAATTTCAAAAGAGATAAGAAAAATTGAATTTCAGAACTATCAATTTCAGAACTATTCACATTCCTACGCTTCTACAAGGAAAAAAAATTCTTTGCTTCTACAAGAAAAATGATAAGAGTTAATTGATAAAGATGATATAATCAAATGGGAAGAAAAAAGAACTGGAGGAGAGAAAGAGAGAGAGAGAGAGGTAGGGAAGAGATTGCTTTCTTCTTACTAAAGGGAATATTAATTTTGTTAATGTAAACTTACCTGTATAATCCTTTAATGGATTTTTATACGTGCCTATAGATATTTTAATAAACAAACTGTTCATAACAAAAGATGTATAATAATCATTTGAGTTGCTTTCAATTTTTATAAAAAAAAACTCTGTTTGATGGAGACTAATAATTTGCAATTAAGAAATCAAAAAGCTTGAAGTCTAAAAATAAATTCAAAATTTTTTTGGACAAAAAGCTAAATTTAAAAATAAAAGAAAGGCTAAAAAGTCAAAATAGCGCTTTTATTTGATCTGATAAATAATAATTGATGAATTGTGATAAGTTAGTTTTGCAGTGCCTTAAAAATCGCCTTTTTTAAAATAACGTGAAAAAAAATTTGTTTTAAAAATTAAGACAATTTTGAAATTGGAAAAATATAACTTTATTTTAGCATAAACAGTACATTCAGAAATTTTTATCAAATTTTATAATAAATGAGAAATTGAAGATAATAATATTTTAATTTCTGGTTAAAGTGAAACTGATGATCTTTGATGTGATCAAACCGCTAAATTGAATAAATATGCATTGTTAAAACTTTCGTGCCATTTAACTTGTGTGTGTATACTAATACAATGAAGCATAAGTGATGCTAATATCAACAACTACGTAATACACGTGATCTCACTCTATGTCAACTCATCATCATTCCAGTCTTTTACTTTTACTCTTAACTTCCATACTGGCTATAACTTCCAAATTTTCTTACCTGGTCAAGAAGAAGAAGAAAGAGAAACAGAAGGGAAATAAATGAGCTAATAATGAATTTAAAAAATACTATTACTATTATTGTTTCATTGCTAAATAACTTATGCCATAATATGCTATGCCATGGAAAGCATAAATGTTTATGCCATTTAAAAAGGAAAGGTAAAAATTCTGCGGAACTCACTTGTCATTTATCTTATCGATGGCCTTGAGGTAAATTCTATCAAGCAAGTAAATGTTATTTGCATCACTTTTACTCCTCAATGCATCGAAATGTTATGCATATTACATCAGCATTCGTAAAATATCTTAACTGCAAGCAAAAAAAGTGCCTCAATTCGATTTTTTCGCAAATTGCGTTAATCTGTTTGTTGTTTGTTAATTAAATACATATTCTGTTAATTCACAAGTGAAATGAAAATAGCTTACAACATGTAGAATAGCAACCACTTGACCCATACTTGTTATTTTCTCCACCACACCATCAAGTGTCATTGTATCTTTATTTCGCATTTGGGATTTCTCAATTTTACGATAAAGATTTAGCTGCCAAGCATTCTTATCTGTTGGATCCGTCTAAATTTGTGCAAAAAAAATTTAACTATCCAATTCGAAAAATTGCTTAATCCAGATTTTAAACAAGACATTATCACATTAGAGGCTAAAAAAAGTCATCATTTTTATCACTTATTATTCATCACAATTAATCATTTTAAAACAAACCTTAGCTGGTATCTCAAGAAGAGAACGAACGAGTTCACGTATTTTATCTTCCGGTTCTTTAGCTAAGAATTTTTCTTTTGCCTGTTGTACAATATCTAATTCACGACCACCGAATACATTTAAACCAACTGGCAATAATCGTTTCAGACAAGCTATCACAATTGAGCCTGCACGCTTATCCTTGCGCATCTAAATAATTCCGTTCAAATGCAGCATTGAAATAAAGTAAAACTGGGTACAAAATTCCAATATTTTACTCATATTTACTTTAATTACCTGTCCTTCACGTCGTTTCTTTTTGCGTTCCGCAATTGCAGCTTTACCAGTTTTCATTTCACCGGTACCGCCAATTACTGATTCATCCTCATACTGAGCCATGAAATTTAGTTCTTCACGTTTGAAGTGCTGTGAGAGAGACCAAATCTGAAAATATAACATTATAAAAAGGATCGTTGTTACCAATCTGCTAAATCTTGCTTGGTATGTTCATCAAAATAGTGGACAAATAGTCACTGCTAAAGAAGCAATTGTAGCAAAGTATCAAGCAGATAAATTTATCTCATAAATAAGTATATCCATTCGATACTTTGAATATACATTATTTCCTTAACAGACAATAACATCATTATCATAAATGCTTTCATTTTAAAATTACAAGAAATTTTTGACATGCCTTAAAAATGACAGCAACATTCTCATAAATGCCATCTGTTTCCCAAGATGGTGATTTCAGCCATTGAGCTCGATGTAAATCTGTATATTTCATCAAAATTGGAAAATAAGCGTACACGTCACGTACAAGATGAGCATTGTCCTGAATGTTATTAAAATGTAATTAAATACTGAAATAAAAATGACCTAATATATTATTATAAAACATTTATGACATTATATAGAGTAAAAACATAAGAAAGTTTTTTCTAATTAAAAAAAAAAACCGTTTTACAATTTACCTCAGCAACGGTTCCTTCATCAGCATTATCAGGATGGGTACGTATATGTTCCTCTTCTCTATATGCTTTTTCCGCTAAACGTCGTAAACGTTCAGCAACTGGAAGCATATAATCTTTTACCACATCATAACTTACGTACGGTATAATTTGAACGGAGAAAAAATTAATTCGACAAAGCCACGAAGCATTTTCAACACCAATATGATTATGAATCATTTGAAGAAGCGCACGAAAGATTCGATTAATATGTTCATTGCTAACATCCGTAATCGGAACACTGAAATTGTCAATGTTATTTTTTTTTAAAAAAAAAAGCGAAATGAGCTGAAAGTTTATCGATATAATAAAATATAAATAGAAATATAATAAATAAAGTAATCTGTTAAATTTTAAGTATTGAAAAATAAAATTTTTTAAATTACATTTTAGATTTAAATATCACTGAATGCACTGTAGAAGTAATACAGACTACAGTAGAAATGTTGTAGAAAATTTTTCAGATTTAATAAGAAACTATCATTTAATCTTACAGAATCTATCAGTCTTTCTTGCAATACATTTCTTTTATATAAATGATATTTACTAGAAGAAAAAACATTGTATTTTAAATTTTTGAATTTTGAATATAAATCTTACATAGATCGATTAGTGCTATCGGGGCCAAGTTGCCACCAATAAGTTAAATAGGAGCAAATAAGCGGTAAATCGACATCATAAATAGCTGGTTGGTCACAATACATTGTACCTGATTGTCCTACTTGTTCCACATCCGTTAATAATTTATCCATTTGTGGAATATGTGCCAAAAGATTTTGTAACATTTCTAAAACATTAAGCTAATCTAATTTATCACTACTTTTAATCATATTCAAATTCACATACAAAATCATCGCTAAAATTTGACAAAAAAAAAAGAAAAATTAATATTTAAAAAGATTTACTGCGTATAATTTATAACGTAAAAAAGTTTCATCTGTAAAATGACAGATATTGCAAAATTCTCTTTCGAAATAGTTCATATTTTAAAATAATATTCCATATAAACTTATTTTACGTAATCATACAATGTTACTTTTTTGCCTTATCAAATTTCAATTCAATTCAATAAACCTTGCACTTGTACTGATTGATCTTGCGATTTAGCCAGTAATGAATATTTATTATTTTTATTAAATTTATCCTCCAAAAAAGCTACAGGAAAGCAACCGGCGAATGCTGCAAGGCATTGACCAAGTGCTGGACGATGTCTGCAATAAGATTTACTTATAAAATATTATAAAATTACAAATTATAAGCAAATTCCAGATATATTTTCCGATTATTTAAATTTTTAGAGATCTTTTATTTCTTTCTTTTACGTTTTCAATTTTGCTTGAAAAAAAATTTTAAAGCAAAACAAACTTATCCATTTCATAAGCAATTGATTTCCTTTGTGAAGTTGTTGCCGCTAAACTATGCATGAGATATACGCTATCCAAAATTTTATAACATGCTGCTTGAATTTCATCCACTAAAAAAAAGCTTATAATTACAAGTAATAAAATTAACAGATTTCATGAAAGTTAGAAATTCCCACAATTTAATTCCTGAAATCATCAGTTTTATTTGTCATTGAGAAAAATATAATACAACTAACATAACAAATCGCTGCCAAAATGATTTACAGCCAAATGTACAAACATTGTTGTCAGTACAGGAATAATCATTTGATTAGCAAATTCCAATGACACCCATGATTTTAAGTTTTGGCCACGTAGCAATGAGTATTGTCCACCTTTTTGAACCTCTTCCATGGCAGAAAATAGATCATCCGCACAATTATTGAAAAATGTCAACAAACCGGTACGCACAATGTCCGAATTTATTTTCACTAATGTTCTGGAAGTAAAATTTAATGACAAAATTGGTCAGAGTTAATGCTTTACTTTAAATACGAAATGTTGCTGGTGGTAATTTAAGATTTTCTGAATAGCGTACCTTAAATCGAGTGCTTGGGTAAGGCCTTGCAAACATCGTACAGTTATCTTTGCAACACTCCCGAAAGCATGATTTTTGAAACGAAGTAACGAAGCTAACCGACAGAATAAGCTGTTAATAATCAAAATTATTCAGCATTGCATAATTTAAAACTTTTCAACTTAATTTCCATTTAAATAAAAAAATTTCCATTTAAATAAAAAATAGAAATCAAAAATACTGCTAGAATAGATATCTCAAATATAAGAAAACTTTTAAGAAATTAAGGATTACATTTCCTTAAATTGACAACATTTACTGTCTTACATATTCAATTTTTTTGCTAAAATTTTTTTTAAAAATAAAGAAAATGCTGCAAAACATTTTTCAAAAAATAAAAGTAAAAATATTTGATATAATAATTTTATTTAATTGAGCTAGTTTTAATTCGTGAACTTACCTAGCAACCATTTCCTTTTCCTTATCGGAAGCCATTCCGGTTTGTACGATACTGCTACTGGCCAAGAAATAATTTTTATGTGCATTGAAATATGCATGCATCAAAGGTAATACTACCTTAAATTCATGAAAGATAACTTTTAACATTTGACATCAAAAAAAGTCAAAAAGATCAAAAAATCCAAAAATATGACATGCACTTACCTTTTCAAAAAATTTCACATCTTGACCTTCTTTCTTAAAGCTATTCTGACGGGTCAATTCTTGACTAGGCTTGATTGTCTTCATTTTTAATGATGATTGCTCAAGATATTGGATTAGCTTCTTTAGTAAATTATATGCAAAACGTTTTTCCACCGAACTACGTTCACTATCAATTTTGACACGTTCCGCAGATGGCTCATCTTTAGTAGAACTGTAATAAAATCTCAAACTGTAAAAATCAACAAATATTTTCATTTTAACATCAATCAAAATGAAAAAAGTGAGATTTCAACAGATATTAGTACCTCCAAACGCGATATCCATAATATTGAAGAAATTTCAGAATTTCTGCAGCTCGAAATCGATCTTTTCGACGTTCGAAATCGGTCAACAAATCCCATGGCACAAGTTGTGGTGGCATTGTGCCTCCTTTACTTAAATCAGAGAATACCTAAACAGAAAAAAAAGACTGAAGAAATTTTGATCCATTAATTTTGCAAGATAATGTAAGCATTCACAATCTCTTACAATGAGAAAATGATTTCGTTAAATTAATGATAAACTGCTTTCAGCAAACCTTTTTGGCCCATATCTTATGCGACTCTTCCGCCATCTTTTCTGCAACACCTGTCATATCTTTCTCCAATGTCATATTTGATAAATCCACTGGTTTGGGATTAAAATTTTCAACTGCAAATTTGAAGTGAGTTTGTTTTTCATTTCGATAATTATCGATTGTTAATTATAATACTGATAATGATAATCATAGAATAAATTATATTTGATATCTATATTATCGAGTATAGTTGAGCAGAATGGTAATAATTATAAGGAAATTTTAAAAATGAATAGAAAATATTTAAACTTGTTTCTTTCCATAAAAATGAACATTCATTTTTCCTCTAATTTATATTCATTCTTACAATGATGCCATTTGTGAATTTTAAGATTAAGCCATAGTACAATATTTTTACAAAAATTTTTTTCACCTCACCGATGAAAAATACTTACTCGAAGTACCAGTTGAGGTATTATTTTGGATAGCTTTATCGGCTGCGTCATGATCTGTTAGCTCGATTGAGTAATTCCACACCAAAAGGGCACGCAAACATTCCGCGCAACGTTCTTTATAGAAATTCTTCTCCTATAAATTCTTTTTTAATATTTAAAAAAAAATGAGAGAGAGGAAGAAATGGTACAACAAAAAAGATTACATTTATCAATTTGCATTCATAATAACAAAGAAAATTTAATTTTTCAACATTTGAGCTATAATTCCTTTTCTTACCAATTTTCTATTCCTTTCTTCTTTCTATCTCATTCCTCCTATACAGTAAATTATTAACTTTAAACTTCTGCTTTTGTTTTTTACCGCGAAAGAATTGAGCATATAGTAAATACTTACAAAATCAGGTAAAAGTGCGAAAGGTTTCAATCTTGGATGTGTGAGATCCTGACGTGAATAGAGCTCACCATAACTCCATCCTTTTTCAATCTGTAAAGGAACAATTAAATACATTATCAGAAACATTGTTCAAATCTATCGAGTAATTCTAATCAGCTATTTCTTAATAGCAATCAATTAAATGAATTACAAGAAAGACTTTTATATAATACATTACGCGTGAAAATAGTATGACCCAGAAAAAGGTCACGGATATTTTCGAAATTTGATAAAATCTTTAATTTCCCAAAATTTAAATCATTTCCAAAAATTTTAATTTTATATTAAGAATTTGCTAAGTGCATTTTATATTATTTGTTGCAATGCTTTTACCTTTCTGCTTGCCCACGAATCATGAAAATGTTCCGCAAATTTGGCAATTACTGATTTCAGGTCATCATCAAGAAGAATTTCACTGACATCAACCGGATTCGGATTCCAGACTCCGCGATCTTTTGTTTTTTGAATTTTATCCGTATCATCATCGGTTGTCGTCAGTGTATAATCCGGTGATATTGCTGAACCTGCAGATTATAATTGATTTTTACTACTTTTATTGGAAATATTTTAAATATTATTAGATTTAAAATTTCCAACTTGAAATGAAGAGAAATAAAAGCAATAATAGAATGAATACTAATATAATAATACGAATATAATAAATCAAAAATAACAAAATGGAAAATAAATGAACTAAAAGAACGAAAAACAAAGATTCAAATTATTCTAACTTGCTAATAATTAAATTAAAAATATACCAATAGCTGTCAGACATGGAAGAGCTTTCCCGAATAATTCCGGATCATACTGTCTACTGCCAAGCGAATCAAAAATGGCATAAAAAAGTAGCATGGACAATCTCTTCTCTGTCTCGGAAGCTACTCCATAGATATTACCCGATCCATAATATTTCGTACAACGTTCATAATGGAACGTTACAATCTATGAATTAATTAGTGAGTATTAATTGGTTATTTCAGAAAAAAATTTCATGTAAATTATATGGATATAAAACATAAAAAATTGCTACTATATGAAAATTTAAAATATTATTACCACTTTTAACGCTACTGATAATGATTTAATAAATGAAATAAAATTGTTACGATTATAGAATTTCTAGCAAAATGAAAATTAATTTTCCTATCTAATTATTAGCTTAAAAAAAATACCCTTAATGGAACCAAAAGATTCTCATCCATTTCCTGAATATCATTGATAACTTTACGCATCAATTTCACCATCATTGCTGGTGGAAGTTCATGAGTGATAGCAACTAAAAAGTCTGATAGCGCATCACGTTGATTTTTTGTCAATGATCGTAAACGATTCATACTGTACACCTAAAATTAGAAAGGATATTTGTACTCATCAATTAGCAGTAATTTACTAATTTCTTTAAGCTAATTGTTAAGACTATAATATTATTGATAAAATTGGCAAGTTGCTGAAAAATTCTACAATTGATAAATCAAAAAGAAAAATTCAATACTTTCTCGAACAATAAAATTGAATGAAAAAAAAGTGAGCAACCGTGTGAAGCGTAGTATCAAGAAGTGCAGCATGATGTTCAGCATTAGCAAAGTAATATGAATGAGTGGTAAGTAAAGGTAGTACAGCATTACATAAATAACGATTTAGCGCTAATGCTGTATCACTTTCCACAGAGCATGGCTAAAATATGTAATGTTAGATCAATCAAGTTTAAATATATAGCAAATTTGAAAATTAATTTTAAAATTTATAAACTATCATTTTTTGAAATTATGCATTTTTGGCAACATCTTTGTTAAAAGTAAAGCAAAATATAAAGAAACTGAGAAATAAATTTAAATCATTTAATTTTTCACTGAAATTTTTTCATGAAATTTAAATTTTTTCACAAAAACACATTGAAAATCTTAATAAATTAGTAAATTAAATGCTCTACCAAAAAAAAAATTTCTCCTGGCGAAAGAAATTTATAAAATTTAAACATCTCATTGTATGAATTTTCTTTTATCGATAACATTTTTTCATGTAAAACTAACTGAATCCATCATTGTAGCAGCTCGAAGATCTGGTAGGAAACTCTTTTCAAGAAAATGGAAAAGCATTTCTTGTGAATCGATACCATAAACACGATCGAGAAATAGAAGAACTGATTGTTTATGGTTTGGAAGAAGACCAGGCAATGGACCAGCATCTGTAATATCAATTTTTCTCTATACGAAAATTACTCCTCGAAACTTTCTTCCAATTAGTAGCCTCAAAGAGAAGCATTCAAATTAGAAGTTCTCTTAAAAATACCCAAACAAATGGAAATCGCTTCATCAATTTTCTTTTTAAGTCTAAAATTACGAACAGTTTTGAGACAATAGAATTCGAATGATTCAAATCATAAAAATTTTTTAGTTAACCAATCTAAAAATTTTCAAATTTGTAGTTGAAGAAGCAGAATAAGTTAGCCTTATAATTTTTAAATGAAAGTTGATAACTGAAATAGAAGCAATTTGTTATGAACTGTCCGAGGTAATAGTTATATTTTTCTGGTATGTAAATAAAATTTGTTCAGGACTTTCAAATTAATACAAAGAAATATTATCATAAACAGTGTTAATCAGCTATGCCCTACAATTTACTTTTAGCGTATTAAAAATAGGGTCAAATATTCATAATCAAACTAATTGATAACTTAAAAAATATGATTAATTTGACTGTTTAAATAAACTACTTAAAATGATACAATAATTGAATGAATTACTTCAAGTGAAATTTATTTTCGAATAAATCGTGATAAGAATTATCTTAATGTTGAATTAATTGATTCTTTAAAATTTTTAAAGCAAATTAGAATAAATTATTAAGCTATTAGAAATTGGCTGGAAGACATTGGCGCTCAGAAGTACACATACATCTTTTTAAAATTATTGAATTTTAAAAATCAAATGATTTAAAAGTAACATAGAACGAGGAACTTTTTTTTTCCTTTTTTTTTTCTCTTTTGATTAAAAGTAACAGATTGATTTAAAAGTAACATAGAAGGGAGGAAAGAATTTTCTACTTTTTTCCTTTTTTTTCTCTTTTGATTTAAAAGTAACATAGAAGGGAGGAAAGAATTCATTTTTCTACTTTTTTCCTTTTTTTCTCCTAATATTTTGTCAAACCATATGTTATCAGAATGCGCATGCTCTGATGATACATGTGCTAAAAGTGTGCTATATGTGCTTATATATGCTAAAAGTGACAAATGTGATAGTGACAGTTAGGTGCAGGTTGAATTACTGTCCAAATTTCCGTACAATCATTTGAACAACTATTCCATCTAATACCTTTGGCTTTGGCTTTTCTTTTCTCTTTTGCAGCGATTTTCAAAAAAAAAAAAAAAAAAACTATTAGAGGAAAATTTTCACTAATTGTGTGTTCAATATCTGAAATGTAAATCATTCAAATCCGTTCATATTTGTTGGCATCTATGATTCTCGCGCTTCATACCTCATTTACGCACTTTTTTCATTTCCTTTTTCTTTTCCGTTAATGGCTGATTATCTTCACAATATTTTAGTTATCGTTTAAAATTTAGATTCAATCATTAGATGGAAATGTTAATTAATGAGTAAATTAGTTGAAAACATCGATAGTGAAGAATATTGTATAACATTTTCATTTCTAACAAATTTATACTTAATACTTCTCCGTTTCTTATTCAATCAATTTATACTGCAATGATAATATCTTTTTTATTTTTCCCTTCTACATTCAGGAAAGAAACCGTTTAAAATAAAACAATTAAAATTAAAACACCAACCATCTGCCTCTGTTAAAGTTACCAAATTTGGTATTGTAAAACGCAAGGCTAGAATTTGATCCAAATCATCCAACGAAATTAATGAGCGCAATATGGCACGAGCGCGCATACAATCTCCTTTTCCCGCCTGAATGATTATTTAGAATGGTTTGATTTATCGAATGGATGGGATGGATTTTTTGAATTGATGAAAATATTGAAAATTCAAGATTACTTGTATGTTAATTTTATCCGGAGCACATTTAGCGAGCAGTTCAACAAGGGAAGAATAGAAATCGAGCGTTGCAGCTCCGAGGTCAATATAATTTTCACCTTCGGTCTCTTTGCTTGGATAATGTCTGAAGATTAATTAAAGCTAAAATGAAGAACAATGATCGAGTAAAAACAATAAAATTATTTTCGTATTTATTTGAGGTCATGAAGTTTAATTCTCTGCAAGATAAAAACTGCGAAAAAAAACAAAAAAATTATAAAGTCAATCTAAAAAAAGTTGAAAAGCAAATACGGTTGTTCTCTTAGCAATGCACTACGGATAATTGCATGATTTTTGTCCTCTTCCAATGCTCGAATATCCTCTGAAAGTGTGATTGCTTCCTGCAAAATTATTTTGATTTTTAAAAAATCAAATGCCTTAAGCTTCTAATATTTTATGTCCTCACTATTCCCCAAAAAAGTTATTCACTAAGTCTTGAAATTCGTTTAAAAGTAACAACTGAATAAATTTTTATGTATTCATTAATTAATAATTGCTTTATTGTGCCAATTTCATGCATTTGTAATCTAAAATTCAAACATTTGCAAGCTACCTTAAACGCTGAGAATAATCCCTCTCCTTCACCTTTCAGTGCAACACCGAGACAATCCGGTCGACGAATTAACAACCTTATCACTAAATTCGCATTCTCCACCACACTTTCGCCATTGATCCAAACGCAAAATCGCAAGAAATCAATGTATCGCTCACCTTCAACTGGATCCCAACCAATGTCCGGATAACCTTTTGCGATCAATTCTGAATTTGGCTGAAAAATGAAAAAGTATACTTTAAAGAAATGTTTTTTAATAATATCAAAAAAATTGGACGCAATATTTTCAGCTTCAGTAGCGTCAGGAAGGATTCATTGTTGCTTTCATTTTCACGCAAGAAAAAAGAAGCGAACATTTTGAAAATATTTAAAGTATGAATAAATTCTCACCTGCAATCCACATCTACTAAGATATACCGTAACCTTATCCAGTTCTTCCTCTTTCAAAGCCAAAGCCAACTCACTATTCTCCATAAAACTCGAATAAGCAATATCAAGTGGCACCGAACCTATATCATTTTGCAAAAAAATAAATTTTATGATATCAAAAAAATTTATAATACTGTCTATATGGGATCAATAAATTCCATCGATATCTATTATTGTAATTAATATAGTAATTAGATTAGAGATTAATATATATCTATTCACCTCGTAAGCTAGGCCTTGCAAGCAGCATCGTTGCATTATCTAACAAAAATGGTAAATGCTCAAACATTGCTTTCTGATTGTGACGTGAAGTTCGACAGAAATAACAGAGAAAGCGTGAACATGCAACAACCATTTCGGATGCATCCTAAAATTAAAAGATTCTAAAATATTTATTCTAAAATATACCTATTATTGTAATTAAGGTAGTAATTAGAGTACCTGTAATATCAATGTATTGGAATGAATGCTTGCACAATTTAAATATGAACGCTAAAGAATTAAATAGCAATAAATGTAAATTTTTGATATACAATCTAAACTTGTTCAAGTTCATTTGATTAATTAACCTGGAAAAAGTTTAATTAATTTATCTTGATTTTATTAATTTTTCAAAACACTTTTATAGAATTTTAAACATTCAAAGATCACTAGACTATTTTTCCCCTTTTTAATTCAAACTTCTTTTGTCTGAATTCATTTTTTGATTAATATTATCCTCATTTTAACAAATTCTTTCTTTTTCTTGCAGCTTCTACCTTCGATTCTTTCGCATTTTCAATTTCTTCGATACTCTCCGCATGTTCTCCATGCTCGTTATGATTAGCGGCTCCTTGTTGTGCTGTGAGAACGTTCATCATAATTGACATCACATTTTCATGAACCGTTAGAAGGCGCATCAAATCAGGATGTTGGAAAAAAATTCGATTGTTCATTAGTTTCCTGGTAAAAATATTAGAGAACGGTAAATTTAAAGAGTTATCACATTTTAGTGGAATAACAATTGAACACAAATAATTAAAATTAACAATTTTATATCTGTAATGATTAAATTCTTTTCATTTTTTAACTTAAGCTATTTTTTCAAATGAGCACTTTCAAGAATTACATTTCATATAAACCAGTAAATAAATTAAATTTCATAAAAATCTATTAGAAGTCTTTCGATCCTACCATAATTCTCTTTTTAGCACCGTTTCTTCAGCACTTTCAAACTGTACATTGAGTAGCTCTCGAACTTGGACCAAATTTTCAATGAAATCTTGTACATCCTCGATATTACGCTCATGTAACACGTATGTTTGAGATAAAGCTTTCATCATCTGCAATCATTAGTTTTTTCTTGTGCAATTTAAGTTAATGGTGATTTTTTTTTTTTTGGAAAATTCTAGCCAACGATCAATTTTTCTTGGGAAATTTCAGTTAAAGGACAATTTTTTTTTAGGAAATTTAAATGAATGTTTTGTGTATAACTTGTATATTCTTGACAGAGCAGAAGAAAAAAAAATTTCAATCTTATTTCTATTATTCTGAGCATTATTAATATAGATTGTTACAAAAAAAGTGAATGATCATCTTCATTCAGTTTGAAGATTTGAAATTTTAAAACAACGAAAATTAAATAAAATATGTGATCATAAAAAAGAAAAGTTTTGCTGAAATATCACGATAGATCGTTGATTCAGACTTTTCAAATAATCTTAAGAATTCAGCATTTTCATTTTGTTACCTTTTTAATTTTTCACTTAACTTTAATTAACATTATTTTAATCAGAGAGGTAAGCTATGAGAAATTTGCATAAGAGATGAGATTTAGAGATTTAGAATTTTGAAATAAGAATTGCTGCTTACTTCAGCAACACCAGTATATTGACGTAAAAGAAGACTGAACATATTTCGGATCAAATCGTTACTTTCAATCACTGATGACGTTGCCCAAGACTTCAACATTTTGCAAATCATTTGTCTAAATTTATCAATCAAATAATTAAAACAATGGTACATTCATTATTTTATTTATGCTTTAAACTTTGACATAAATGTTTCATCGTGAGTGAAAGCTTCAAAATTTCCAAACCTGAAATTCTCTGTTCCATTATGACTCATATCAATGTCGTCACCAGTCAGTGGTGGTGGTACTCGAATGACAAGTTGTGCCAATTGATCCACCCATGAATTTGCTTCTTCCATAACTACCAATTCTGACAGCTTATCAGTCTCATCATTCTTTTTACATCCTACTTTACTTATCAATAGTGAACAGAATTCCCTAAAATAGAATAATTTTAGGAAGTTCAAAGATGAAACAAATCAATAATTCACTCTTGATCTTTGACAGTTGTTAAAAAATGCTTGTGCTGACTTTTTTTCCTACAGCATGAAAGGAGATAGAATTTCAACTTTAAAATGGACCAAATATCAATCAAAATGATATCAATAATTTCGAAGTCTATAAATAATTTCAAATTTTTATTTTCTTTCTGTAAGTGTACAAACTTTAGTTGCTGTTGCAACGCTTCATCCATTGGACATTGATCATATTCCGTGTCATCATCCAACATTATGCCTATGCTATCATCCGGTACCGCTTTGCATTTCACCAACCGGAACATCTATTCAAGAAACAATGAGCAATAGCAGAAAGTTGTTATTAGAAAATTCAAAATTTAAGAGTAATATATGTGCAATTTAACAAAAACAGTTTTGTAGGATGCTATTTCAAAAAATAATTTTTTTTTTAAACAAATATTTTATACATGCCTGTTCTCGTGGTGGACATCGAAATTCTTTGGTACGTCTGGCTGCTTCAGCCGGCGTCATATCTGTTTCCTTGATCGACATATATCTTCAAAAGATCGATAAGTTATAAAAAAATCATTTAGCTTATTCGATTAATCGAAATTTATCTGAAAGAATTAATTTCTAAAAGCTACAAATTTCAAAATTTTCATAATAAAATAATGAACCTGGAAAATTGGTCCTGCTGTAAATCACTCACAAATCCAGCAGCAAATGAAACCAACGATTCAACCCGATGTCTCAATTGAATGTCACAAATGTTTTCGAGGATCATTGTAAGTTGAATTTTCACTCCCTCTGCCAATTCAATTTCTGTCAAACCTTTCTGTTTTAAACCTGAATAAAAATAAAGCACAGTTAGATCGATTAAGAAAAACAGAATTTCAAAAAATTCATCAGTTAACCATTTACATCTTAATTTCCCGATTCCGACGATTTTTTAACTTACTTTCATTAAGGAATAAGAACTTTTTAGTTTTTGAAATTTAAATAATTAAAATCCAATTTGAAAATAAAATGAATTTCAGGATTTTCGTAAGGATTTTCAATTTATAAATATTTGATTAAATGATGTTTTTCCATCCCTAATTTTTTTGGATTTGTTTAAACATTTGAAATTTCAACCTGGCACATAATTTTCATCAAAAGCAATAGGATGAATTAACTTCAAGACATCTTTTAGATCATCGTCATCAAACATTCCAATCACAAGCAGCGAATTGAACAATTTGAAAAGTGGTCTAAAATGGTAAAATCTTTATTTTCATCCAAAATATCGTTTTCCCATCCTTATCTCCATTATCTTTTCCTAAAAGTTATAAGCGAGTTTCCCTTTTTTTAAAAAAGTTTTCATGCAGAAAAAGTTTATGGTTCCTGAAGCTTACTCAAAATGATTTAAACAGTTTCCACCAATCAAATCACGACAATTGATGACAGCATGTTCGGTTGCGCTACTTAATGCTAACATAACATGAGTTTTCAAGGCAGCGAAATTAAACATAGGCGGTTGAAGTTTTAATTCCGTATCCATCTCGAAACTAAAAAGTAAAAGAAATCAATTCAAATTTAAACTCATCAAATTAAATAACAACACTTGGCTATCAGTATTGAAAATCTTTCAAACGATTACATTTGACAGCATGCTGACGCAAAATCTAAAATTGAAATAAAATTTTGAGTTAATTTAAATTTCAGAAGCATTATGTTTGAAAAAAATCATTCATTTCTTATACAACCCCAAACCTACTGGAAAGAACATCTTGAAGATATATTAATTTCAAGCTTCATTAAAAATTTTTCCTCAAAATTGCAAAATTTAATAACTATTTATCGATTGTAATGCGATTAGGAAAGATTTTTCTTGTGCTCGCTACTAGAAGGTTACATTTTTTTTCAATCTACTTATTTATTAGCGCAACAATAATTGGAAATGTCGCATTTATCTTTCTTGAAATTAAAAAAAAATATCTCGCAATGTTTCAATCTTAACCGGACTTTACTATTATTTCAATACCAAAATTTAATGTTATGTAACAATAGATTTCATAATATTAATTAAGTATAACTTACTCGCTACGCACTTCACTACATGCTATTACCGGTCGAATGGAGATTGTTGGTCCGAGAATTTGCGGGAAACGATCCTCATTCTCTGGATGAAAGACATTTTTGATTTCATGATTTTGCTTCAACGGAATGACATATTCATGAGCGGTAGATTGTCGTGCATCAACATGTGTTCGTAAATGAACGGCTATTAGAAAATCATGGAATCCTTGACGTAACGGTCCGGAAAGATCTTCAAGAAAATACAAAAACTATTGAGATTTCATGTAACATCTACTATTGATAAAATTCAGGGAAATTGATAAGAATTTATGATATGAAATAAATTGAGAAATTTGGAAATTTTGATTTTTTTCTTGAAAAATGCCAAATGTTGGGATTAGAAAAAAGTAAACTGAAAAGAGAGTCTTTGCGGTGGAACTATGGATACAGATCGTTGAATACCGAACACAAATCCCAATCCTTTTCTTAAATTTTACATATATTTAAAAATATTTCAAAATTTACAGTGACTCTTCACAGCATACATAATTTGATCTTCGTCAACATGTGAGCATAGAATATGTGCTACTTTCTGGTTTCCATGTGCTGCTAGCTTACAGTACAGATTGAGAGTTTGTCGATGGAATGTCAAGAAATCATTATGTTCAATCATTTCCAGAATATCATAGCTTTTATCCTTTTCCGGTACATAAATAGACATTATGCGTACCGGATCATCACAAAGGATTGACCAGCCTAAATGTTTTAGTTATGCAAAAATTATGGATTTAATTTGAGAAGTTAAAATAATTCAATTAAAATTTAGAAATTACTTTTGCTGATTTCTTGTTAAACTATATCTGTTAGCTCAAGTATTTTTTAGTTTTCATAAAAATCACTTTTTTTCGTTACTTTACAGTATTGTATAGTTTTTAATCAGTTACAAAACAAAATAGCAATTATCTTTTCTCTCATTTAAATGTTATTATCAAATTTCTCTGCCAATCTTCTTCGTTGTAATTGCCAATCATAAAATTTCACATTCATAATTAACAATTCAAATTTTTTTTAAAAGTTTAGAAATTACTTCTGCTATTTTTTGTTAAACTGTCTTTTAATTGATTGCTTAATTGAAACTATTTTCTCAATTACATTCAAAAAGATTATGCAGAAAGCAAAAAATTAAAAATTGCTTCCTATCTAGAAATTATCAAATTGTTACCTCTAAAATCGGAAAGTTTAAGAGCTGTGGTACGCAGACATTCATTAGGTACTCGAGCCCAATGAACGGGATTTAATTTCTCAACTGTTAGTCGTGGTGGACAAAATGGTAACAAACTTTTGTGTGATGATTTAAACATTGCTGATGATAATGGGAAAGTGTACTGAAATGAGAATATTTCAGTATTTGAATGGTATTTATAGTTCTCAGTATTTAAAGTATTAAGTTCTGAAGAGAAAAGAAAATAATTATGCTTACTATTTTTATAAACTAATAATTATGGGAATTCAAAATCGTAAAAAAAGTTTCCTTATTTTCAAAATTACAATTTTTTGAAATTTATTAAACTTCAAAGAAACATTTCAAGATACTTCCACATCTGAATTATGTTTGAAAAAGCATTATTAAATTTATTGAAAAAAAAGTGATATGCCTTTATTCGTCCAAGTTCGAATTGTAAAATTTCAGCACTTGTTGGTGCAACAAATGCAGCAGGATAGAGAATAGCACCGGGTTCGAGCTGTAATACAAAAAATAAATTTATTAGATGATAAATCTTGCAATTTTATTTTTAACATTTCAATTATCTTAAATATGTTTTGAATTGAAATATTTAAAAAATTTTGGTGATATTTCACACTGAAAAATTATAATAAACCAAGTAAAAGCTACAACAATAATGAATACAGAAATCAAAAACCTTAAATCGAAAACCGGTATCCTGTTTTGAAGCTAGGAATGACAGTTCTCCAATAGATGTATCGATGATACAACCCACTAACAAGCCTGATACTTTCGTATTTCCTGGATCCGGTACTGATTGCAGCAACTCCGCCGCATTCATCACATAGCAATTTCGATATTCTATGCTGCAACAATTATTTTGTCAATTCAAATCTATATTGAAATGTTAATTTCTGAATTACAGTAATGTATTGTAAACATTAAAAAGCTATTTATGATAAATTATCAAGTGATCTGTAAGATTTACTTGTAAGATTTACGTGTATTGAGTGATAACCATCGCTCCAAATAAATTAACAAATGATTAAATTTCAGCACAAATTTTTGATATCCACATATAAGTTTGTACTGTTAGAAGAAAAGAAATTTTATCAAAAATTAAAACTTGAGACTGAAACTATGTTCAATTGACAAGTTTATTTTCTTTCGCAATGTTTATTTCGAAAGTTTCTGAGTTTCAAAAAAAAAAAATTACTTACCTTTCTCCTTCATTAACATTTTTATTGATTTCTTGAAATTTGCAACGTCGGACAGCTTCTCCAGTAGCAAAACGTTCGGCGTAGAAGTGATATTTCGGTGTTACCCAACCAACCCAAACATTTGCAGGATCTTGTCCTGGGAAAATTCGAATTGCATAGTAAAATTCATCGATCTGAATAAAGTAATGATAAGAAACACAAATATCATGAGAGAAGAGAGCATTTATACAACAATATCACAACAGTTCTCTCTTCTCGAATAAATAAATTAACCTTATCACTGAGTTCAATCATTGGGCGCACATCATCGCTTGGCGCACTTCCTTCTACAATAACGTTTTGTTCCAAAGCTGCAATTGATGGCCTTCGATGTTCCAGCAATCTTTCAATCTTATTTTTTTTCAATTTACTTGATGACATAAATCGTCGGGATCGTCCAGGACCCGATCGAGGCATATCTTAAGTAAAATTTAAAAATAAGTGCAAGTAATATTATTACAAAAATTCAGATGTTATTTTATGACTTTGAATGAATTTAAACTTTTTCTGTTTTTTATTTTTTAGAATTGTATTAACATAAAGAAATAACTAAAGTGATTAATATGAAGATGAATTGATTTAATTTTTAAAAAAGTATTTCCATTCTTTTATATTCGTTCAAAGCTTATAAGAAAAATAAAAAGGAAAAAAAAATATTTAGAAGTGTGAAAAACAATATCATTCATTATCAACATTATCGCCTTGGCAAATAATAGACTTCAAAATTGAATATAAATATAAATTTGTAATTAAATATTGCTACCTTGCTCATCTTTTGGTGTGGACGATAATATTCCTTCTGCGGAAACAGCATCTGCAGAAGGAATATGTCCATCTGTCAATATGCCTGCTGTACGTTTACTTTCACTAGAAATCCCTTCTCTGAAAAAATGCTGATTTCATCTACTAAATATATCATTTAGAACTGAGAAGATAGTAATAGGTTAGTATATATTTTGCATGTTGCATGCTAGCAGCTTACACATTTCTGAACAGAAGAATTCCTTGATAATAATATTACGATATTTACAAGATGTCCTTTCATATGTGGTACAAGCAAGGTATATTTTCATGATATGGTATTAGCAAGGTATCTTTTTGTATGTGGTACTAGCAAAATATCTTTTTAGTAATGTATTTAAACATCGGCAAGGAATTAATATATTCCAGAATTTGTAGGTATTTTGTAGCAATATATAACACGTGAACGTATCGGATGCGTCACCTATTTTATGCTCCATCCCCATGTAAGTACCACAAAACTTAGAAACTTAGTAAATAAATTTATCTATCGATCTTACTTTCCATTATATCTTACGCATGTATTCACATATGTGATATTTGAGTGTATAAGATGACGAACTTACGTTTCTTCATAACTATTAGAAATAAAGTAATATCTGTTTACAGTAAATGAAATATGAGTGTTAGCTAACATGGAAAGGTAAGATTCGATCAATTTCAATTTTACCTCAAGAAGTTAACAATTGAAATTAGCATCAATTTTACCCAAAAAATTAACAGTTAAAATCTTACTTTTTCCTTTGATGAAATCTGGCCATTAAACCACCTCGTTTATGTTTTCCATCTCGATGATCATCGTTAGTTGATAATTCAAGCATACTTCCAGACATTCTATCAATAATTGAAAAACGATTAGCTGACAAATATCGTAATAATAATATTATTACGATATTTACAAGATATCCTTTCATGTGTAGTACAAGCAAGGTATATTTTCATGATATGGTATTAGCAAGGTATCTTTTTGTATGTGGTACTAGCAAAATATCTTTTTAGTAATGTATTTAAACATCGGCAAGGAATTAATATATTCCAGAATTTGTAGGAATTTTGGGAAAACAATAACAATGAAAGAGAGAATATTTGAGGAAAGAAAGTTTATGATAATTTTAACCATTAAATTTATTTTATTCTTCTCCCTACACATTTCATGGGAAACAAAAATGCCAGACTCTCATCTGGCCACTTATTCGAAACTATAAATGTCAAATTTAATGAATCTCTTTCATTTACTTCATTAAAATTACACCGCGCTCAGTTGGTATCAAAAATTCCTCGAAGTGTATTACAGAAAAGTGTGAAATTTATGCATTTGAAAGGCTAAAATTAGTAACATTCACATATTTTCTTTATCAATTTCAAAGAAAACCAATAATAATTCTAATTTTTCTCTTCAAAACATTCCACTGTGACTGTTTTGCAATGAGAATATCAAAAAATATTTTTAATTTTGCATTTTTTTATTTCCAAATTAAACAGTAAGAAAACAGCCAAAAAATATATTCAAATCATAAAGCCTATCAGGAAATTCTCAGATGCTCAATTTTTCAATCTATTTACTCACTAAATTGTCGCCTATATTTTCAACTTCTAACATTTCATTTTTCTTAAATTGAAAAGAATACAATATCAGAATCTTTTGAAATCAGATTTCTGATTTTTAAGTTAAATTAAGGTTTTTCAATTTCGATCAGCAATTATGAGATCAGAAATAGATTTCCCAGCATTTTTATGTTAGCAGCCCAAGATATGGTAAATTGAATGAGCCAGGCTTCTTGTATCTAAGTTTTGGTGTTATTTCATTGCAGAATAGAGATCTGCTAAATCTGATTCTCTGATGCACTGAACTATACCGGTTAAAGTGCGAGAATTGAGATAGTAATTCAAGTTAGCAGTTGAAATAGTAATTCAGAAATTGAGAGAGTAATTCAATTTAATTTGAATTTAACCGAAAATTTAATTGCTTAAATTCAAATTAAAGTTTGGATAAGTTAAAAATTATTCCTTGACAGTTCGATGCTAACAGTTATGTTATTGTATTTTTTTCTGAATCGTTTTTATTATTCTTTTACTTTGTCATAGCAATTGAACTTTTTGGAAACTGAAAAATGATGTCGGAAATGCGAAATTAATCCATAATACCGGAAAATCCGAAAATTATGAAATAGTAAAACATACAAATTTATTCTGACAGTTAAACCGAGGAGGCCGCATTTCACAATTTGTTATTGGGAAATTTAATTTCTTGTCATATGATCTCATTGTGTTGCTGTAATTCATTAAGAGATTGCCTTATAATGCCTTTCTCCCTTAATTGTTCTTTATCTCTTATATGAAACAAATGTAGCTAATAAGTATTCTAACAATGCCCTTTGTCCTCTTTGCTTCTTCCTTCCCCACAAGACCTTAATAGATGACCCCAGAAAAGCTGGGGTCATATATTAAGCTCATCGTCTACTATCCTGGTGCCGCCCATACTGGATATATAAACAGTCAAATACACCAGATAAGGGTCACCTTTTCATCCATTTCAACATTCGTACGCTTTCTTGCAACTGTTATTAAAGTAACTGCTAATTTTCATCATTGTTAGCCCTGTAGCTTTGCCCACAGTCAACTTCAGTTATTGTTGCCAACTAATATCTATTCGATCCAATGAACTACATCAATTAGCGTAGTTACCACATCGAGACCAAGACCCAAACAACGAATCCAAGCCTAATCCATCAGATCGTGGTTTAATAGCTCGATGAACTTCCATTTCAAGGAAATACAATCAACCCCATAACGTCAATCCAAAAATAAAACCTCTCCGTCAAGAAATCTTCAACAACAGATTCGATTGTGCCACATCACATCAAAGCTCTCTCAACTCAATAAATGATATCATTAATGAAATTTGCAAAGGAAACCTCATGGCAGATGTTTCTGCAAGAGTATGATCACCATCAAATGATATTGGCTTTGAGCGTGCTGAACTTTCGTCTTCTTCGGTGTTATGTTTAAAAGCTGACAGTAATGATCGGCCAAGCGATTTCTGAAAACGGGTATAGTGTTGAAAATTCAGATGAATGAATTTAGAAATTATTGTTAGCCAATTTTGCCGTAAAGAAAAGGTAAGCAGTATTTTTTTTCTTCGATGACAAATATTCATTAGAAAATTTTTTGATATGAATAATGGGAGGAAAATATGTAATTACGAGATCAACTATATTTTTGATTCGAGATACCGTAGATCAGGTTAATTAATTTAAAAAGATAAATTTCACAGATTTTTGTAAAAATAACTTTTATTTCTCTTCACATATTCGTTCAGTTCAATTTCATTTAAATAAAAATAATAATATTTTAAAAAAAATACTTTGTGACTGTCAGATTAATATCGGAATATATTGACTTTAATACTGAAGCTGTTCAAATTAAAACTGTTTGGAAATTAGTCCCTAAGCTAGCGAAGTGCTAATGCTGTTAGGAATATCTTTTTCCGTTAGCTCAGTAAAAACATGAAAGTTTTGCTAATAGTTTTGACATGTGTCCTTACTGCACCTAAAATGTAGCAATCTTTTTTTCCTTTATTTGCAATTATGCGATGAATATTTAAGATATCACGACACTTCGAATCGATAATGTAATGTGAAATTTTAATTAGCATTACATCATCGTCCTGAATGATCAGGCCATTAGATCTGCACGTTGACAAACAGCACTTTACAGTGTATTCCAAGGGAAGATTCTTTATTCTTTTCAGCAATTATTACTACTTTATCTCAGGATTAACAAAATATTTTTAACAAAAATGGATTCAAAATTATCAATCCTTAAGACAGCGACATTCTCTGCAGAGTATTTTATTTAAATTGATTTTTGAAATGCAACTTTTGATTTTGTATTATATATCCTAATCATATCATGCTATCTCTGTTCTAAGCAATATTAAGATTTGAACACGTAGCTGTAGTAAAGTACCTCTAATTGTTAACTTTTCCTCTGAGTAACGATAATTTTGATATTAAAAAGTTTTGTTAATTTAGAACTGAATCGATACTCCAAATAATACAGCATGAGTGGATCACATTATCAAATGATAAGATCTGTGATAACTAGAAGACATATATGGTACCATTCAAGTGTTACAGTTAAAATACATACCTTGTTTACTTTAATATCGTCACCAAATTCTCTGGGGATAGATGGATGCATAATCGTAGGTATGGGGTGTGCTTCTTCTTTTATCTGCTTTTCAATTTCATGTATAGAACGCATTATTGATTCCTTATCTCTAAAATTGAATTAAATATTTTATTTAAATTAAGCTTTACTCACCGACATGTATACTCTCTTAATATGCCACTCATCGCTCATATATTTTAAATTAAATACTTAATTGTGCAAACTTACTTATTTGGCTGAAGTTTGTCATTACATTTAACCGGTAGAGATAATCGAATATATTCCATTTTAGTCTTTTCCTGCGCTGTCATATCGCCCGTATCAATCTGAGTGTTCCATTAACATTGTTTTTATAGCATTTGAAATGTCAAATGTCATTGTCAGAATTACACACATCATTTATTTTAGTAATAAATTAATTATGAATTAAAATATGTAAGAGATATAGTTCTTAGATCAATAAATTAATAATTCATTTAATAAAATCATCTATCACTTTCGTTCAGTATTATCAAATTGGATAGAAGCGGAGGTTTATGTATTCTGTCGACAAAAGAACATTTCTTAAGAAAATATGGACAGATACTTTTCAAAAGAATATTTCTTAAAAAAGGAAAATATGGACAGATATAGCCATATGATTAACTAAGCTTGAATTCAGCTAATCCATGAAACAATACTTCCTTAAACAACAAACAAAGCCTGATTGTTAGCACTAAAATTTTCATATCATAATTATTTAATTTTATCTTTTTTCTTTTCTCTTTCCAAAAAATGTCAATTTTGCAATGATAAAATAACAATAAGGAATAAAAGATTTCAAAAATTCGATGGAACAAACCTCTTTTTGAGTTATTTTTAAACACGGAGGATTGCTTGCGGTTGCCGGTATTCGTGAAACTTCTATTGTTGAATTCAATCCGATATCTTCAAACTGAGGTAACCTTTTAGCGTACCACATTGGCATTTGGCGATACATATTACTAAATTTAGGAATGTAAAATAATAAAAATCTTGTCGATAAAAATTGAATTATAAAGATTTTTGAGAGAATTAAAGAGATGCTGAAAATATTTTTAAAATATTTTGCTCACCTATAGTTTTTGATTTCGATTGCAGCTAATTTTTAGTGTATCGAGAAGTGATCTAATGAAAAAATGTCAGTATTTCATAAGCAACTTACACACAAAATGGTTCATATCCCTCTTGCAGACCAGATGTGGTGAAATATTTCAAGCTATTTGAATCTTGGCCAAAATTCAATTTTGCTTTCTGGCCTGCACTAAATGTCATTGCTGGTACGAAGCCATCTGTGACGAGAACATTATCGAAGGCCATTTCGGATCCGGAAGGGTCCTACAATGCAATCTTTCAATAATTTAATGAGAAAAATGAGTCTAAAAATTGAAATAAACTGGAGTTAGAAGGATGTTAGCCTCATCTATTAAGACTTGTGGGAAAGAATTACTTGACTTTGGCACAGTTAATATCAGGCTATCATAAGTAAAATATTGTTGCAAACATTTTCTTGGAAGAAAATAAATTTCTGAAATCGTTTTGCATTTTACCAATAGCAGTTCGCCATTCAATGAAAATGAAATGGTATGATCGCTGAGGTCAAGAAATACTCCAACTACATCGCCAATTTTCCATTCCCTTCCATAAGTAACGGCTCCTTGATGCCATTTACGTGCCAAATATCTGAAATCAAATTTTATTAAAGTTAAAGTTGCAAGTTAAATTAAATAGAATTAAAAAGCTTCAACTTGCAGCTTAATATAAATTCCCATCATTTAGAATTACACAAAAATTTCATAAAATCAAAAAGAAAAAATTCTTTAAAAAGTTAATTAATTTCAACAAATTACCCATCAAATCCATATGATCGATCATCAATTCCAATGTCAACCGTTGACTGTGCACTCACATCCATCCAACCAACTTTCATAAATCCCGATGTGAGCACCTCAAATTCAAAATACCATTTGCCACTGGAAACTGCATAGAGCGCTTCGGCACGATAAGTTCGCGAGAATCCCTTTGTTGCTTTCAATTCTTTTTCCGCAGCTAAATTGGAAAAAGAAAATTGTGATTCAACTTTTGATTTGCACAATTTTACTTCTCATAGGGGATTTTAGAAGTTGCAGATATTTATTTAAATACCTGTTATATGTTTTATTGTTTAACAGACATCTAACTTATCTATTTCTAACTAAATCAGTAGTACATACCTTCATCGTGCTCTAAAACAGGTGCTTCCAAAAAGATTCCGAACAGCTGCAAGGTTTTAATAAATTCCGTAGCTGATTCTCTGTTAGCTTCTTTAATCCGTTGATCAACTACCTCATATGGTACCAGATGTGGACTTCGCTTTTGACTTGTATTCACAAACTGTAACAGTAATTTTTTTTTTTTTGGAAGTAAAGCAAATACATATTAGAATTCAAAAATTCAGACTTTTTCAAGTAGAAAATGTAATTGACAATTATTGTACGGGGAAAAAAATTAAAATAAATAACATACAGTATTATTGATTCGAAAATTATTGTATGAGAAAAAAGATGCAAATGTATTTTTTACCTCATTAAGGCCAAAAGTCCAACCCCGCCGAATCTTTTCTCTTGCCCAAACATTATGAGTATTTTTAGCCAAAGCATCAATTAATGGAAACATATTATCATCAAGAACAATTTCATGAGAATCCAAAGGTTTTGGTTTAAATCCGTTGCTTTGTTGATAACTAAATGATCGATAAGAGATCGTATTATTATATAAAGAAATTTGAACTTTCAAATATTAATATTATGCCATCTGACATAATATCTTAATTTATTTGAACATTGTATTTCTCATTGCTCGTATCTTTAGAAAATCTTTTTTTACATTTATTTTCATATATTTTCATGTAGCTTTTTCTCCATATATTCATTTATTTTCATATAGCCTAACATTTCAAAAAAAAAGGAAAAAAATTCATACTTCTGAGGAAGATGCACAGGTCTCAACCGAACTGGACATTCTTCTAGAATCATATGATATCGCAATGCTTCAATTGTTCTAAAAATGAGCCGATTTCAAATGAATTATTAATTTGATGTTAGGAAGTCAGTGATGTGTGATTTTAACGATAACAATTCATTTAATAATAACTTTTCATCCTGTCTGTTTTAATTTTTCTCTAGCTTTTATAAGCATCTGAATATTCGATTCATTGATTTTCAGAAAATTAATGAACGATATTACTTCATCGTATCAATAGCGAGATTGATATTATAAGTTTTCTCATTTTGTGGTAATTGTTGAAATGATGTGAGGCATGGATGACGACGAGTTCTTTCATCTCTCACCTGTAAGCGGATAATATTGAGAAAATTACAAAAATCAATTACTTAAATTTACTTCATTCATAATAAATTCGAATCCCACTCAAATGCATGTTTGCACAATCTTTTAAATTTTCAAAATTTCCTCAAAAAATTAAAATATAATGTATAATTTCAAAAATCCATAATTCTTTCATCGATTTCATTTAATAAGAGTAGAAACGAAGCATACATTAAATGTACAATAGACTTACACTGTATACAATACCATTTATGAACACGTAAAAACTTATATACCTCGCCATAATTCCAGCCAAGTTCAATTTTTCGCATTGCCCATAATTCATGCAAATTTTCTGCCAACTTTTCATGTATTTCCATTGCAAAATGAGGCAGTACCACGGTAGAGATATCGATCGGTTTCGGTACAAATGGTTCCGTATTTTGACGCAAAATGCTCGGGCCGGCATACACGTTCTTTGCAATATCACCGAAGGAAACACATTCTCCAATTTCCAGTTGATTTACTGCTGCTTCAATTAAAGCACTGAATCCGGGAGGTGGTCCAAAGCGCAAACGTCCTTCCGTACCGCCGAACATGAAGCGACAACTGAAAGATCACTTCTTCACCTTCGCATTTCCGAATTAATGAACATAATGCAACATAGTTTTCTATAATTGCAGACACGTGGACCATTACAAAAAGCTCACGTAATTTTCTTGAACAGATAATTGAATTATGAAATGAATTTATCAGTAATATAAAGCTTTTTCAGTGATCTGAAATTTTTAAACTTTTAGCAAACTTTATAGTGAGTTTATTAGCAGCAATCGATAATATAAAGTTAGTTTCTTCTGTTTTCACTTAATACAGAAAGTTTCCCACAAAATTGCATACCTAACTTTGGCAGAAAGTGACATAACGGGAAAGAAAAATCCATCAATATTGAAATTTTTGAATAGTCCTGTGGTTTGCTGTCCATTAACAGTAAAACTTATTTCCGGAATATTCAAATCCAACAAACAACCAACAATATCACCTTTCTGTAGTGTTCTAGTCCAAATAACGTGTCTTTTAGTTGCTAAAAAAAGTTTATATTTAACATAAATTCAATAACTATTACATACATTTGAAAGATTTTAGGCTTTGAAATTTTGAATTTAAAGAATTTAAACTAGTAAGAAATCTACCGCAGTAAATACATCGTCCATCAAATCCATATGAATAGTAATCATCACCGACACCAATACAGCCCCATCTAAA